GAAGATAATCGAATAGTGACTGGGGGGCAGAAACGCCAGTCTGAGGAATTATACCACAATCTCTGTTGCATTTACAACCTCCCTCAAAGCGAGTGTCAGTCGAGTAGGAAAAGGAGATAGAAGATTCATCACATCTCAGGCCTGTCTCATTTGCATGGTGGCGGAGCTGCCTCATCTCCTACTGAAAGACTTTACTTGGCCAGCGCTGACAAAGTGTTTTGAAGAACTCCAGCCATGCCCAAATGATTCATAGTTAATAGCTTTAGACATTCTATTTAAGCGTACGGTTACTTCTGCTGGAAAGCATATTTTTAAACCTGCTAAATCCTATCCTCTAAAATTATAACAAAAAAATCATGCAAGAGACTCAATATAATTGATCTAGTCATTTAGCAATTTGCATCAGGAAAAAGAGCACTCATGGAGAACCTCACCTTCCAGCAAAGTCCTGCTGCTCCATTTGATTCATTATTCACTTCTGCGAGGTTACCAAACTTGGCTACAATTTCATGTTTGCGGGCATTCTGTGCTACTTGCAATGGCTGACTTTCTATTCTGCATCAGTTACAAAGAGGAAGGGGGTGTGTGAAAAAAGAAATTGACTACAACACATAAATGAAAAGTGTTTGCCTTTGGAACTACATCACAATTTGATGTTTTCTTCAAGTATATTACAAGCCTTGCAGGGGACCAAAATAAATAATAAATAAATGGGGGGGGGGGGATTTCAATGCAGAGAAATGGCTAGGCTTTTAAAACTGGTGGCAGAAAAATGCATTTACGTGTTTAATAGCACAACTAATATTTGTCAGGCTGCGTCACAGGTTAACATATAAGCTTCTGGAGTTTCACTCCCAAAATATGAGCAAAAATAATGGATCCGACAGTAACCAAACTTGTACCAAAGCTCAAGTTCTGCCTTACCAATAATAAAATAGAATACCTCTTTAAGGGCCAGATCCTCAGCTGTGATAAATTGGAATAGTTATACAGAAATCAAGGAAGTCATGCTGATTTACACCAGTTGAGAATCTGGCCCTTTGTGTCTGCAGTACACACACACAAATTGAGATAGCTGAGTATTATCATTCCTTTTTTATGCTAACCTTTTGCATAATTTAACTAACACTTAAAAGTAATGGGCCAAGTCCCAAGGTGAGTTTTATTCAGTCCTTACACAGACCAACAACGGCTCTAGTTCACCATTTAAGAACAGATATGCTTTGGGGCAGTGCAAAGCAGATCCACCCCAAAGGGAGAAGTGAGGCATTTAGGGAGACAGAAGGCCTTCTGCAGCAATCTGATGACACAGGAGGAGTGCACACACTGCTACACTACGCTATCTCATGGGATACAATATATTCTTCCTCACACGGGCAGCCAGCTTTGCTGGCCAGTGCATGAGGATGGGATCAGCACAAAGTAATGAGGGAGCGATCCCTGTCATTCTGGGCATGCAATTCTGCCGAGCCTTTACGTGGGCTACGCAGACATGGGAGGCTTGTTAGTCTCTCCCCCTTCCCATGCATCTGCATAACGGCCAGGCTGTATTTGATTCTGAATACAAACCTCAGAATTTGTTCAAGTGGCTGAATCACCTATACAATATACAGTAGAACCTCAGAGTTATGAATACCACAGTTACTAACTGACAGTCAACCCCACACCTCATTTAGAACTAGAAGTATGCAATCAGGCAGCAGCAGAGACCAAAAATAAATAAATAAATAAATAAATAAATAAAATACAGGATGGTACTGTGTTAACTGTAAACTACTAAAAAAATAAAAGGAATGTTTAAAAGATTTGACAAGGTAAGGAAACCATTTGTGCTTTTTAAAATGTAAATTAAGATGGTTAAAAGCAGCATTTTTCTTCCGCATAGTAAAGTTTCAAAGCTGTTTTAAGTTAATGTTCAGCTGTTAACTTTTGAAAGAACAACCATAACATTTTGTTCAGAGTGACAAACATTTCAGAGTTACAAACAACCTCGATTCCTGAGGTGTTCATAACTCTGAGGTTCTACCGTAATGTTATTTTAATATTAATGTTATTTTAATGCAATGGTCAGGGTACAACAAGAATTCCTATAAACAAACCTTCCCTAGGTTTTCCTTGACTATTGACATTTTCTGATTTAATCCCAGGTCTCTCTCTGTGCAAGTCTTAATCTGGAGGTCCTCATTCATTTTGATGAACTGTGTGCTGGGTAATACAATGAAAAGATTCCATATTTATAAAACTACACTCACCATTTATTAAGTGGTCTATTTTCAGAGATGATGCAACTGCAGCTAGCACTCTAGTCATGTGCACACAGACCAAGTACCTGTTGTCTCCTACAAACTTTTCCTTCCTGCAACATCTGCTCCTCCTTCCCAGGTCCACACAGGTTACTATAACTCAGTTTCTATTTAGGACTCTTTCTATACACAATTTTGTACTGGTTGGAAACCAGTATAGTTACAGCAGTACAGCCCCTAGTGTTGACATAGTTAAACTGGCATAAAGGTGCTTATGCCAGTATAACTTATTCCTGTAAATGTAGGGCAAATACTTAAATTGGTACAAAAACTGTGTAGACCATTAGTCCAATGGTTTCAGTGGGAGGTCTGCCTGAGTAAGGACTAATCCCGCAACCCTGATGTTGAGTAGTACTTTCTCAAATAAGTAGTCCCATTGAAGTTGATGGGAATAGGACAGCAGAAATAATGCTACACAATGTGAGGATTACAGAATCCAGATTTAAGAGCAGACTTCAGGATTTGACTCTGCAGTTTTAGCTGACAGGTCAACCTTAGCCTAATTTCCCAAAATGGAATGAAGGCAAAGTGGATCTTAAATTTCACTAGCTAATTCCAGCAACCAAAGCATCTGAGAAGGTCCTTTTTGGGGGAGAAAAGTTGTCTGTTTGGAACTTTGTACTTATTTAGTTGTTCATGATGGAAATTATTTCACTTAATTTGGTTAGAACTACATTGACACAGGGGTTCATTAGGACACCCATTTGCTAGCAATTCAATTTAAAATTAAATACACTTTGTTGTGGATTTTATTACTTTTAAACTACTGTATCTAGTGCCTTTATTAGCTGCTAATACACAATTATGAAGGCAAACAGTTTTCATTACTGAACATCAAACATTTAAATAACCACATTTGATCTCTTTTCCCCCTTGTTCCTCTCACATAGGTGGATATTATAGCCAAGTGAATAATTTACTCAGTGAATTGAGTCCTCTTTTCTGCTCGTGGACTGTCATTCCCAGACAACAATTTCCTCAATTTTTTTTGTTAGTTCAATTTCCTCCATGAATTTTTATGCAAGTTATTTGTTTAAAATATTATTGATTGATAAACAATTTTGCTGCAGTTATTCTGTTCTATAATTGCATGAGAGTAACTCATAACCAGGAAGGAGGCTGTCAGAAGCCACCAGGGCTTTGAATCTGTCAGGCAGAGGTAGCAACTAAGAAGCTTAGGGAGATTTTAGAAAAAAATTCAAGCTAGATCGATCTCTTGTCAATTTCACACAAAGTAGTTGTGTCTGTATGCTCAGTCCTAGTTGCAAAGGGTGTCTAAGACCATTGTCTGGCTCTGTTAACTGACACTGTACCAGTAATCAGGAAAGCATGTCTGGGAACTCTGTGCCCCGTTTGTATCAGTTAGGCACTATGAATAAGACTGGTCTTTGCAGAAGCACAGTGAGGCCTGAAAGGCTCCTCATATCCTCTGCCATTTTGCACCTGCATAAGTACCAGTCTTAGTGTAACCCTACGTAAAAAGTAGATTCAATTGTAACCACCCATACAATAACATCAGTATTATGCTCTTTGGACAGTAGGATTCTAAGGCTAGACTGAAATTCATTATTTCAATATTCTAAGGATTTCTTGGGGGAGGGGGGAAGAAGTGGAAGCAATAGTGCCCAATTCAAATAGGTTCAGATACCAAAGAGAAGTGGAGGAATTTGAGGTGAACTTTAAATTCCAGAATAAAACTATGATACAGGATGGTTTTGTGACTAAAGCATAGGATTGGAATCTAGGTACTATGGCCATCTCTTTCACAGACTCTGTGTGATCTTTGCAGCATTCTTAAATCAAAAGCTTCAGAAGTGACCTCTGATTAGGAACGCCTCCATTTTTGGCTGGCCACTGGAGACTCCCACATCCTGATTTTCAGAAGTGCCATAGTTCTAGCTGACGTCAACATCAGCAGATACCAGGCATCCCTGAAAATCAGGTCCAGCATGCATAACTAAAATCTGGGGCACCCCAAATCAAAGACCACTTTTGAATATATAAGCCTTAATTTATTTTTGCCTCAGTTTCCCCATTTGTAAACCAGAAATAATCCTACTTCCCTACTTGTGAAGGCCAACTCATTAATGTCTGTAAAACACTAGGACAGCCTGGGGTGGAAGGTGCTACAAAGGTGTAAGGTGTTGTTATGCCACATACCTCTGAAAGGGTTTATGGAATCTGGTGTGCAACATCTGTTTGTTGTGATGAAGAACTTCCTTTTGAACTTTTAAGTCCTACATGGAAGAAAGGGTTTAAAAAATTATCTTCTCAAAAGGACATGTGAGAAAGCACATGGAAGTAAAAAGCTGAAGTTATGTACATTTCTAGAAGTTTGTTTGGATTTTTCAAAGTCCACTAGGAGATTCAGCCACACAACTCCCATGATTTCCAATGGGAGTTGTGAGGTTAAATACCCTAATCGGTTTTGAAAAGCTCTACCTATGCATTTTATACCTGTATATAAAACACTGCACTAAACTCCTTATTTTTACTATGCCTAACTCACAGTTAGATAGATAGATATATTTCCTACTCAGCTCCTCATGTTTGTCACAGACCACTGAAGATCCCACCACTTTCCCCTGCTTTAAATCCACTTCAGGTCTTTAGGCCTCCCTGTATCAATGTAGCAGTGGTTAGATGTTCTGCAAGAGAGATTAGCATTTCTGTGTCTTGTTGCAATGTGTGGGAAGGTTATTTACATGAGCTACTTGTTTCTTCAAGCGGTTCTGCAACTCTCCAGAACTGAGGTGGAAGGCTTGGAGTCATTTTGCACTTATACAACAGGCTGGAAAAGTCACTCTGCCATGAGAGCTAAAATTGAAAAAATTGAAAACAACACTGTTGATAAAGGGTTTAATATTATAAGAGCAAAAATATTGTCCCCAGTCTGAAGCTTTAAGTTCTCTATTGCATATTCTCCGTTTCTTGGTTACAGATATCTTCTGCTGGTGTCCATGAAATGGATGGAAACTCTGTGTGCACCACTGCCAGTACACATGGAGGCTATCCAATATACTCCACCAAGCTACAGTATGCTGAACAAGGCCTACTTCCCCTCAGTAAGCCCCCGAGCGGATAGCATTACATGAAAAAATATATCAAAGGTTCAGTGCTAATGGTCCTATTCAGAAAGTCTCTGTGAGTCTGTAATACATATTGTACATGATAAAAACAGGAAACTTGCTTTAAAATGAATTATTCGTCACTTTTTATACATTTTTATGTTTCCTATTTGCAAATCCCCAAAGTCAGTTATGTAAATTTTAACCTACACTAATTACCTCAAGTGCATGCAAGCCAAAGGAAGGTAGAAGCAGTAGAAAACAGACATTTCCATCACCATAAACCAATTTACTGTACAATTCTTTTTTTAAAGTTTTCAAAAACAGGGCTGCTCAGATGATGTTATCTAAATTTGGAATAATCACTGTAATATCCCATGAATAAGAGATTTACTAGAACACTTTCAAGTACGTTTTCTTCGGTGGCATAGTACTTCACATATATAACTAAAAAACTCATTTCTCATTGTGACTGCATCATGGTCTAGGCCAGTGGTTCTCAAACTTTTGTACTGGTGATCCCTTTCACATAGCAAACCTCTGAGTGTGACCCCCACTTATAAATTAAAAACACTTTTAAAATATATTTAACACTAGTATAAATGTTGGAGGCAAAGCGGGGCTTGGGGTGGAGGCTGACACGTAATAACCTCGTGACCCCCTGAGGGGTTCCAACCCCCAGTTTGAGAACCCCTGGTCTAGGCTATAAAAATTGTCCACTGTTGACAAGGGGTGTCAACAAGGGGTGTAGCTGCAGTGGTGCAGAAGGGATTTAGCTACAAGTGTAGACAAACTATGTCCATCACTGTTTCAGAAAATGAGGTTAATCTTTATAATGTACATGAGGCATACAACACTAGCGGTCTATTGTTTGAGCACAGCACTACTCAGTCACAGGACTCCTTAGAAGACCTGGGCAAATAACTGTTTTTTTTGGATACATGGCAATTTAAAATAAAAAAAATGTTTCAGGTTGAACAAAATATTTTGACTGAAATAAAACTTTTTTTTTTAACTTTGAACATTTTTAGATTTTTTTAAAGGCTATTCCTAAACAAAAACTCATTCTGAACCAAAAAAGTTTAAACAACTTTTTTTCAGAATTTTTTTCTTGTTTGTTTTCAAAATAAACAGTTTGGCAAAAGTGCTACAAATTCACAACAGCTTTCAGTGTTTCTGAATCTAAATTTATTGCTGAAAAAAGTTTTGGTCAAAACTTTTTTTCCAGCTCTTCTCCTTAGTCCGAACTGATACTGACTCTTTCCATAGGCTTGGCCAAGTCACTTAATACCTCTCTCTCTTACAGATGATGAAATAGTAATACTTTTTAGGGCTACCTTAAGGAATAATCAGACATTGATTGCAGAGAGATTAGGATGGAGACTGATATTTATAATGAACTTTCAACATGAGCTAGTGTGACAGAATCACAATGGTAAACATTGTTATTATAACAGAAACAAACATGGACTTAGCACACTACTATTAATCAGAAGTGGCTGAAATTTTTTCACTGCGAAATTCTTTCAACAAAATGTTTCTTGGACTCCTTCAAAATTTTCTGAGGGTCCTGTGGCACCTTTGAGACTAACAGAAGTATTGGGAGCATAAGCTTTCGTGGGTAAGAACCTCAAAGACTGTGAATGACTATTCAACCACAGAAGCAGTTTCTCCTCCCTTGGTGTTCACACCTCAACTGCTAGCAGAGCACCTCACCCTCCCTGATTGAACTAACCTCGTGATCTCCATATTGATTTATACCTGCCTCTGGAGATTTCCATTACTTGCATCTGAAGAAGTGAGGTTCTTACCCACGAAAGCTTATGCTCCCAATACTTCTGTTAGTCTCAAAGGTGCCACAGGACCCTCTGTTGCTTTTTACAGATTCAGACTAACACGGCTACCCCTCTGATACTCAAAATTTTCTGTTTTTTTCAAGGAAAAAAACAAAACAATTTTTTCCCTTGTGTTTGATCAAAAAACTGAAATAAAAATAAAATTAAATGATTTTTTTCAAATCATTTGAAAATGTTCAGGGAAAATAACGCCCATACCATTTCTGACTTGTCCCATGATTCATATAACAACACATCTCTGTTAATGCAATTTCCCCATTGTGTTTCAAGACATTTAGTCTTGTTAATAGGAGCCCCAGCAAATGATGAAATATGACAATATGTGAGACTCCTGGTGGAAAGTAACTATATGGCCCGACCACCCAAAACACATGTTCGGCAAGAGTAGCAGCCATGGGAGCTATATGAGACTTGAGTCTGCAGTAGCAGCCACCACTGCTATTCCACAGATTGCAGGGTGCAGGGGAAGGATCCTACACACAGAGTGTCTGATCCTTCCTTGCTCTGCATCTTGTGTCCTCATGTACATCAGTGCAAACAGGGCCGGCTCTAGGCACCAGCCGACCAAGCACATGCTTGGGGCGGCACCTCCGAAGGGGCGACCAATGTTGGGGTGGGGCTCGGTGGGTTTTTTTGTTTGTTTGTTTGTTTTTTGTTTCGGCCAGGCAGCGCGGGGGTGTTTCGATGGCGCGGCGCTGGGGGTAGGGGGAGGTGCAGGGTAATGGAGAATCAGGCCCATTGACTGCCACAGACTACTCCATTGCATAGGCCAGAACAAAAATAAAGGACCAACTTTAGATGAAACAGAAAAGGTGGTGCAAGGTAACATAAACCCTCCCTGTTTTATTTTACACCTACTTGTTAGTTGCTTTCCCTGCTACATCCTCCCCCTTTCCCTTCTCAGCATTAAAGTCACTTCAACTTACAGTTCATTACATTGGTTTTTGTCCTCTTATTGCTGTGTATCTTCAACCACCACTTACATCTCAGCTGAATTTCAGCCAGTACCTAGTTGGTGCCAGTTCTGCTGTTGCATAATACTTGTCTATCAAAGGACTCTCTGAAAGTGGTGGTGTGCCTGAATTCCATGCCAGTTTGAAAATTGAACTGAACATCCTTTACTGTGTTGTGACTTGCGGCAAGCTTTGCTCGGTGGTATCTGCAGGGCAACTTGGTAAGTTTGCTTCAAAACCCAAAATAGATTATAATACGCATTGACCTCGCTGCAAAAATGTGCCACAGTTGCACAGTAAGATCTGTGCCCAAATTATATTTTTTAGCATAAAAGGAAAAGACTTTCTTTTTACAGAGAAAATGAAATGGATTTGCTGTAGTTGAGCATAAAATTACACACTTGGTCATTTTAGCCATTTTTAATAGCAAGAAAAAAATTAAAAATTCGTTAAATGCTCTCTGTTTTAAAATTTATGTTGCAGAACATGAAGCAAGATTTACTTTAGTCATGCTACAGTTTTATTACTGTATGTAACAGAAACACATTTAATGACAAAGTTATAGGCTGATCATTTTTTAGTAGATTTGTGAAGCTTAGCATTATCTTCAGTAAGCGACCTTTGGCAATGAATAATTAGCTGCTCATTAAACACTGTAAGGCTGCATCCTACTATAGAGCTGGGCACCTCAGAAATGCCTGTACGATAAATTACATTCAAGGCATTGTTTTGAACTATTATAGAAAATGAAGCTGGCCATACGGTACATAAGCTGAATAAGGATCTGAACTGCCCCAAAGTTCAGGGATGTTTGGATCCAGGGTTTTGACTCAAGGCCATTACATGAATAAATTATAGACTGGGTCATCTTGGTTTACTACTCAGTCAAGAACACGGACAATAAGCCTTGAGGAGACTCCATCGTCAGGAGCTCAATTACATTAACTCTTAAGTCACTGGCTCTCTCAAAAGTAAAGATTTTTTCTCTTCAGCCTCCAAATACAAGAACCTACCTTCTGAATTTTGTCCTGCTGTAAGTACAGAAAATACCTGTGGCTTCCTCAGAGTCTTTAGAATCCTCCTCAAACTCTCCTTGTTCCATACTATCTTCCTCTGAAGATATAGCTTAGGGATTCATAAACTAAGACAGCTATCTTAACATTCTTTGTATCAAAACCTCCAAAGCACCTGTGTGTCTGAAGAGCATTCATGCCAACTGTGTCAGAACTTAGCTGTGAGTACATTTCCCAGACTTGAAAAAGAGCTCCGTCTAAGCTCAAAAGCTTGCTTCTGTCACAACAGAAGTTGATCCAATAAAAGATATTACCTCACCCTTCTCGTCTCTCAGAACTTTTGACAAATTAATAGTAGAGAACTTAAAACTCAGAGCTCTGAAACAGTGCTTAGCACCAATGATAAGTACAGAAAACCCTAGTGGTGGATCTCTCAATACCTGGAAGCCACCAACTAGCAAATGGCCCCAAATACATTTTAGCTTGTGTAATTTTTCTTGGCTTAGCAGTGAAAGAGGGATGTTTGCCCTCCCAGTAATAAAGAAAGATCTTGTTCACAATTTATCTTGGGCTAGCTCCTCTGCTGGTGTGAAATGGTACAGCTCTATCATGTCAACAGAAGGCAATGGAGCTACACCACTCTGGGATGTGACCCAAAACATCTACAGATAAACTCCAGTTTATCTTGTACCCGATGTGCAACAGATTGCAAAGTTTTATAGTCTTTTACTGTATAACACAGGCCATAGAACTTACCCAAAATAATTCTTAGATCATATCTTTCAGGAAAACATCCACTCTTGATTTTAAAATTGTTGGGGATGGAGTATTGATCACAACCATTGGTAAGTTGTTACAAGAGTTGATTAGTCTCACTGTTAAAAATGTTATACCTTGTTTCCAGTCTGAATTTGTCTAGCTTCAACTTTGTGCCAGTGGATCATGTTACCTTTCTTTGCTAAATTGAAGAATCTGCTATTAAATGTTTAATCCCCGTGTAGGTACTTACAAACTGTGATCAAGTCACCTCTTAACCTTCTCTTTATTAAACTAAATAGATTGAGCTCTTTGAGTCTCTCACTATAAGGGTATATTTTCTAGCCTTTAATCATTGTTGTGGCTCTTCTCCTAGTTCTCTCTAATCCTCACAACACTCCCCTAAGGTTGGTATACTATTTTTGTGTCTTTTACACAGATGAGAAAATTGAGGCAAAGAACCCAGGTTTAGTGACTTAGCCTAAAGTCACATAAAAAGTAATGGGCAGAGCTGAGATTAGAACTGGACTCCTGACTTCCAGATCCATGCTTCAGCTACAATAAAACACTTCCTCACCATGGTATGCAAACCATTGTCATCTAACAGCGTATTGCACTGTTCCTTTATCCAATCATTTCCTCTTATATCGACCTTCACATCTTCTTCTGTTTCAAATACACAGACATGTGCACATGAACACTCTATAACTAAAAGATATTAAATTAAAATTAGTGTGTGAAAATTACTGTAAAAATAATGAACATTGTGTACAAGCACTTATAAAATATGTCAATATTTAGTTGTCTGCCTTCATGTCATGTAATTGAATGGGAATCTTTTTCCTTTGACTGCTTCTCTTCAGTTCCTGCCTGTGCTTTATCAACTTATATCCTATCCTCTTTCTTAGGATATAGAGTAACCCCTTTAATAAATCTTCCCCTAAGGGATGTGTCTATCCAAACCATGTGCTTTTCTGCACCTGTTGGCTTCCCCCCAGCATTTAGTTTAAAAACTCCTCTACAACCCTTTTAATTTTACATGTCAGCAATCTGATTCCATTTAGGTTAAGGTGGACCCCATCCTTCCTGTATAGATTCCTCCTTTCCCAAAAGGTTCCCCACTTCCTAATAAACCTAAATCCCTCCTCCCTACACATTGAGACTGTGCTTATCTAACTGTCTTGTGCTTGGAACTGGAAGCATTTCTGGGAATGATACCAGTGAGGTCCTGGACTTTAATCTCTTACATAGCAGCCAAAATTTGGCCTCCAGGACCTGTCTCCTACCTTTCCCTATGTCACTGGTACATGCATGTACCATATCCACTGGCTTGTATCCAGCACTGCACGTAAGTCCATCTAGATGTCTCAAGAGGTCCACAATCTTCGCACCTGACAGGCAATTCACTAACCAGTTCTCCTGGTCATCACAAATTCAATTATCTAGATTTCTAATAATCAAATCCCCCATTACTATTGTCTGTTTGTTCCTAATAAACGGGGTTCCCTCCTCTCGAGGGGTATCCACAGTGCAAGAAGATACCATGACATTATTTGGAAGGAGGTTCCCAACAATGGAATTGTTTCCCTCCACTGCAGCTTGATGTTCTCTTTCCCCAAAACCTTCCTCCTCTTCAACAGCACAGAGGCTGCCAGGCTGGGGGCACTGCTTTATTGTATTTCTGAAAGTCTCCTCTATGTACCTCTCTGTTTCTCTTACCTCTTCTAGTTCAGCCACTCTGGTCTCAAGAGCCTGTACTCCATCTCTGAGGGCCAGGAGTTGCTTCCACTGAATGCACATTAATGCCACCTTGACCACATGCATCCATTGCAATAAACTGGATAGCCCACACTCTGGTGCTGGACTTCCCCCTACGTTATTTTTACCCTTTTGGGACTGTTGGGGTTTTGGGGGGGCTGGCCTAAGTTTAGAGTATGTTTGTTAGGTGAAACTACCTCTCACGCTCCCTCTCTAAACTCCCTCGCAAAACTCCCATTTACTAGTTCCTCTGTCACTTAGGAGCTGGCTTTTTAAACATCTGTTCTCCCTGAGTTAGCCCTGCCTCCTTTTCAAGGGATTAGGGACCAAAGGATAGCCAGCTAGAGCCTCAGTAAGCTATCAGCCTAGCCTAGCAGGGCACTTTGGCTCAGCCCACAGCCCCCATAATGGACCACACTATACTCTTTAATCAAGCAAGTACACAGCAAGCAAGAACGCAACAAACAAACAAACAGACAAACTCACCCCAAGGGTCATATAGTCTCTCTTCTGTCACTTGGAGAACACCCTCACAAAACTCCCCTGCTTGCTGCTACTGTTTGCTTTAACTACAGGGTACTCTATATTTGTCTGCCACGGAATATTCAAAATGACAAGTTGCCACACACAATCATTTATTCTCCCTGTAGAATAGAACTTTACCCCTCCCCCAGCTTTTCTCCACCAACCCCCACCATGGATCAAAATTACAAAATCTGCTTTACATTTTTAGCTGAAAAGTAAAGCCTCGTCATTTTCCATATACCCGCTTTGCACACTCAGCGTTCAGTGCTTCCCAAAATACTGAAATGCGAAGTTGTGTCATAGCATGGGCTGAGTATACCTAACATATTGGGTTGTGCAGAACCCAGATTTCCTGGTGTATGGGACATTTGGGGGGGGAATGTTCTGCATTGGACCAAAAGCTCACATTTCCCCATGGAATGGGAATGCCACGAGTTTGTTTAGAAAAACATTATATAAAATTAAAGCAATACTTTGTTTCAACTTTTCAAAGCAAAATTGAGGCTTCCCAAGGTGTCTACTTCCAAGCTTCCTGCCACGCAGCTGACAGCCTGGCATCCCTGACTCAAGTCAGGATTCTGAGGGTTTCCAGGCTCCCAGCTGTATGTCAGGTCAAGAAACAGGAATCCATGAGTGGTCAGGTAAGATTGTATTCATTGTAACAATTTTTACATTTTTGTGCATCAAAGTGTGCCGGGAATCATCATCATATCAGCTCTGTCTGTTTTAACAGGTGGTCAATGTTTTATGAAGTGACTTAAACTTCAGCAGGACTTGGCAATCACTAATTCTCTTTGATGAATCTTTTCAATTGCTTCTCTCTATTGAACCATGAAAATAGACTTCCTTTAGTTTAGGATAATGAGGTAGAGAGCTGCCCAGTCAGATGTCTTTAAGCAGTAGCAAATGCAGTACCATCATTTACAGTAGCTGTAGGATCCATTGTCCCAGCTCAGTAGAATATCAAGAATTGCTTTCATTATTTAATTGCCTTCAGATCTTGGTATAAAAAAAAGGTGCACACTTACATGTTTTTGAATACTATATGGTCTAGGGGCATACTCTATACACAGTGAAAACACAAAGACAGTCCTCTTTTACTGGAAAACAAAAGAATATTTTTCCCTTCATTGCATGACCTCCATTCAAATATTTACTTGCCTTTAACTCATGCAAACACACTTAGCAAAATAATCATATGAGGAATTAAAAGTACAACGGTGGAGGAGGTGTTATATCCAAACTCCAGGTGCCTAGGCACCACAGTGATGGGCACCTTCTAAACATAAATAATTTTTAAAAACAACATTTTTATAAATTTACTTATGTTCCAATCCCCCTTTTTAAGGAAGGGGGAGTCTTCTGAGGTCAGGATTTTGTTAAAGTTTGATACACACCGTACTATTATTTGTCAGGCATTATTGACTCTATGTTAACCAGAGAAACTTTATACTACTCCTGACGTCAACATGATCAACATTTCCAAACTTAAAAAAGAAAGGTAAAAGCAAAGCATTTACTGATTCCTGATGTGACACACAGCTGGAGGAAGAAAAAAAATCCTGCTACTCCTTGATGCTCTCTGAACTAGTCCTGTTTCACGATGGACTAGAGCAAAGCACTCCAAGAAACTGATAATGCATGTCAGCAGGGTGCACACAGATAGTTAGATGGCAGCGGGCTGGTGCCCCAGCTTGCTGAGGTCTAATTGTTCATGTAGACAAGCCCTTGGTTTCTCTGTGCATCAGTTTCCTATCTGGGTCACTGTTCTACCTCACAGGAGTGTCATGAGGATAAATACATTAGAAGATTGTGAGGCACTCCGATACTATGCTAAAGGGGGGGCTATAATTGGGTCAAATTTCACCGGGCACCCCCTTGTGGCCAGAGGTGTTTCCTCAGGGCCCTCCCTCTGCTCCTTCCTTCGGAGGCCTTTGGGAGCAGCATACAGTCGCTCTCAGGGCTACCACCATCCCTCTCCTGAAACTGGGTTAGTAGCCCAAAGTAATTCAAAACAGTCCTCAATGTCCCAAACACAAGTTTCAGAGTAGCAGCCGTGTTAGTCTGTATCCGTAAAAAGAACGGGAGTACTTGTGGCACCTTAGAGACTAACAAATTTATTTGAGCATAAGCTTTCGTGGGCTACAGCCCACTTCATCGGATGC